ATTGAAGAAGGAAGTAATATAAGAATATATCAAATTAACAGGCAAAGTTGACCCCAAGATGAATTTGTCTATTATTTTTTATGTCACTTCTTCATATATTCGCTTATCTATGAAGTGTTATTTTCTTTTATAGCGATAGCCATTACTTTAATTTATTTTTTGCACCCATTTTCATTTTGAAATAGACAAACAGGGAACTATATCAGAAAATGTCCTAATTCCACTTAATTTTTATTGACTCAAGGGGTAAAAATTCATAAGTAGACGAAACCTAGTAGAATTTGAATATAAAAGAGTCTAAAGACACATCAAAAATATTTCGACATACATATCTATAAAATGAATTGTTATTCAACGCTATACAATGCCTATGAAGATAATGTTTTATACATTTTGCAAATTTTAAAATCGATTTTCTTGAATTTTGCTTGGTGATAAATTGTCCCATTCTTTTACACCATTGTTCCCTGTGAAAAAAAGAATAGTAATTTGTACGTCTTTACAGGTCTTTCATTTTGATACATGTAATGATGATATGTACAAACATTTCTGTTGGCTGCTTTTCGTCGGTTTTCGTTTTGGTCATGGTGTTGTCTGTTTTTATTAGACTTACAGGTTTTTTTTATTGCCCCTTAGTATCTTCCTCTTATTCCATAAATATGTGATTTTTTGTTGTTGATTTTTACCACAATCCACCACTTTAGTATCAAAACCAATTTTGAAATTAAAAACAGTACAGTAAACTGTTGTCGAACAAAAACAATGGAAACCAAAACAAATAATTCCATTGTATCTTTTTCGATAAGTTCCGTACATCGTTTGCAACCTTTTTTTGTGATAGTTATTGCAAACCAATATGATGATAGATTAAATTTCTTTACTGAGTTTTTTTAATTTTTGTATGCTTTCATTATTATATTTACAATATTAGTATTTTTCTGCGCGCTTTATTGTAATAATTTCTTTTTTTTGTACTTTTTTATTCATCAAGGCTGTAACTAATGTCCTTCTATTCAAACTTCCCGAAAAACATTTAAAATTTGCAATATTGTTTCAAAATTGTCTTCAACGGCAATATTTAGCGTTTATATTTTATTCTATGTTATGTGTCTTAAGGCCCTCATTTGTTAAATACCATATATAAAATATGAACTTAATAGAGGAATAAAAATTAGAACTTCAGCTAGTTTACAGAACACAACCAACAGAATAAACATTGAAAGCAACAAACCAGGCAAAATTGCTTGTTCTGTGTGAGCCAAGGCTCCGTGTCGAAAGCCGTACTTTGACCTATAATGGTTTACTTTTACAAATTGTGACTTGGATGGAGAGTTGTCTCATTTGGCACTCATACCATATCTTCTTATATCTATATAATGACAAACCTGAATATCATTGTTCTTAACCAAATCTTGTATGAATTACAACTGGCTCGATGTGCGCAATTAACTTCATGCAGGCCGTAATTGAAACATTTTCTTATATCCCTTTTTCAGCATAGTCAACATCAACGAACATAATTTTTATGATGCCTTGTTTCGAAACTGAGACGTTTTTACACATGTGATTTAAATTTAAGACGCATATGACATGAAATTTCTTAATAATCTAGTTAAACTTTGAGTGCCCTTTGTTATACGGGTTCTTGGAATAATACCCATTTTCGCACAATGTAACGCTGTGGTAATTCAGTACTTTACAATTTGTTGCATGTTTTTGTTTGCTTATAAAATTGGGGAATAGTACCAGCACGACTAGAATAGCTGTAAGTTATATGTTTTTATCAGTAAAAATATTTCGTCTGGAGCTTGATAAATGTCTAACTGTAGCGTGCAAGCAATCTTTATATCTGTCGTACAGCCACTTCACTTTTGCTGATAGTTTGAAATTTTATAACTATCATTATAAACGGACAATTTTCGGCAACATTTCCTTGGCTTCTTGCTTGGTGCATGATAATGTTGAGTTGTATCTTGCAAGTAATTTTAAGGTCTGTCGTGAAGCCACGTCCAGTTTGCCGATAGCTTGAAATTGTATAACTCTAATTATACAAGGAAGATTTTCATCAAAGTGTTCTAGACTTCAATGAAAGGAATTAATTAATATTTGGTCTGGAGCTCGATAATGTTGAGTTGTAGCGTTGAGGTAAAGTAATGAAAATCTTCTTCATTAGTTATGCATCAGTACACGTGTTACCTGGATCAATTGGAACTCTATACGACTGTCATACAAGTGAGAGGTTAAGTAGCTATAAAGCCAGGTTTAATCCACCATTTTTCACATAAGGAAATGCCTGTTCCTAGTCAGGAATATGACAGTTGCTTTCCTTTCGTTTGATGTGTTTGAGCTTTTGATTTTGCTATTTGATAAAGGACTTTCCGTTTTGAATTTTCCTTGGAGTTCGGTATTTTTGCTATTTTACTTTTTGCAGCGATGCAGGTTCAGACCCGGTATTGATCTTGTATTGGTATTGGAATGATTTGAATGATACATGTTGAAATATTTTCAGTTCATAAATGTATTAAAAAGTAGGTTGCAACTTCATTAGGCAAAAAAAAGAGGATAAAACGGTATTGGTTGTGCTGTTTATGAGATTATGAGAATTTAGTTTTAATGCTCAAACGTTGTGTGATTCTGTAACTTTTGGTGTAAAGCCATGTACAAGATGAAAGGACATTTCAGATAGTGTGTACTGAAATAAAACGCAAATTTTTTGCTCTTATTTTGTATTCTTTTGCTGAGTAAAATCCGTGTGAGCGACTCCGACACTTTGATGGCTGTAAAATGCGATTTTTTTAACTGAAATCTTCATAAAGGATTATTCATTTTAAAGTAGTAAGATTGGATTTTCCCTTTTGTGCCTCTTACAGCATGATAGTCTCCATAGGTCATTGATACGCCTTCAGTTTTTATAAGCAGTGCATTATGTAGTCATGATTTATTCATAAAGTATAATTTTATTGGATTTTCTCACTATTGAAATAATTTCATTTTTAGAGACGTTTCTTACAACAGTGATCTTAGACTTTTCGTATTATGTAGTCTGTGGCTTTAAACAGATATTGTCATTCATGTTTCTGGAATTTATATGACTGTGAATTTTGGAACAAAATGGAGATCAGAAAGCGATCTTATCGTAAAATGATATCTTCTGAAAATTTAGATGGAGATAATCTTGCTACTTGGACTTCGCCCAATGAGGCAACATCTACAAACTATATTATTGATTTCGTTCCAGAAAATTGATATAATGCTACAAATTTGACTCTTGCAACTGGAATTGATTCCATTACAATTGGTTTCAATATTAATGCTCATGTGAATATTCAGTCTACAGGACGCAATGAGACAACGCCCACTGTAACAACGCACTCACCGATCCAGCTTTCTCAGAGTGTTAACAACATGGAAAGCGTGCTTATCAACACGATTCAACTTTGGCAGCAGTCCATCCAACATATGAACTGATAACAATGTTAAGCAAAGTGATGAGCCAAGCATGTTTTTATACGTCTACAGCTGTGGGAACAGGTTTAAATTATTCAGTGAATTGTATTGGTCGTGAAGTAGTTTATGTAGATGGTTGATCTGTTTGTAAAAAAATTAATTGGTTTAAAGGTTGCATTAAAACTTGTTGTAAATATGTACATGCTTGTAAAATTTGTACAAGTAAAACTCACATCAAAGTTACTTACAAAAGCTACAAAAAAGAACAGCAACCTAATAATCAAAACCAAGTTACCAGCAGTAAAATAGTACCCCAAAATTACTAAATTACCATACCAATACAGCTGTTTCGCCTTTTAAGTATGACCAGTTAGAATTAGAATTAAGAAATCACACTGACAAAAATGTTGTCAATTTACTATGTAATAGTGTCTGATATTAATATTTGAACATTTGAAAGTAAAAATGCTTTGTCAGCCAGGAGAGATCCTGATTCAGTCACAACTGTTATTGATGATGAATTAGAGAAAGGCTTCATGCAGTGAAAATTTTTTCAACCCTTTTCCTGTTTAAATAATTAGCCCTATTGTTATTGCAGTACATAGATATTCTTTAAGAAAAGACCTTGGAACTTTCCTCGTCACACAAAAGCTGTGAGCATGAAAGCGTTAATGATATGATAAACATATTTATTTTCACATAGTTATATTATAGTTGATGATGCAATTGGCCTTTAATGGTGTTCTACATCTCAAAGTCAAAGTAAGGCCTTCAACACGGATCAAAAGAATCTCTCACCTCACTACAAGTTTAAGACGGTCCCTAGCACCGATTTGAGCGGAATAATGCTTATATATGAGTTATCAAAAAATATAATCATGCCGACGTATATTTTACTGGACTTCGATAAAATTGTTTACTTCTATCCACAATTTTAATCTTATCCCCCAAATTTTGTCTGTATTAATTTTCGTTTATATGTCAAAAGGGGGATAATTCATTTTATTGTATATAATGTGTATGTAGCTGTTAGACCCCCAGTTTTTTCAATGTAATATTTCTTTTTAGTTTTAGAATTATGTTTAAATAATTAGTTTTATTAGCACTATTTCTTTTACTTAAATTATGGCTACAAACAAGTTAACATTAAAAAAAACCACAAGGATACACGTACACTAAAAACAATATTGGATTATCTTAGGAGATGTAAGGAATAGTAGTATTGTATTTTCCTAGCTTTAGGTTGGTCTTTTGTGTACCAAAGGCAGGTGAAGAAAGTCAACTTAGAAGCTCTGTGATTTGATGTAAGAATACAATATATTTTTTTTATTTATCTATGAATAACTGCAGTGTGTAAATTTACAATATAAATTTTGAAACCCATTGAAATATTTTCTTGAGAATTATTCGAAAAGACTTCCAAATTTTCATACATTTGATGTAAAATGACGGTGGGCATGGGTACCACAAAAAGCTCCGTTCGAAGATGGTCATGATAATATTTGACTTCAATTTCTAAAACAAATTAATAAAGTACTGACACCACACATAACTGTTTTGTCCAGGTTTTATTATAAAAAGTAGTAAATTTAGAAAATGTTAGTATTGTCGCCTATGGAAGAATACATACTACCGTTTTCCCTTTATATCTGCAAGATAATTTTTCTTGGTTACAATAAGTTTAGACATCCTCCTATATTTCTAAAGTCAATAATCTCAAAACTTTTTAGTTCATTTGGCACAGCAGCATCTACAAACAGGGTGACAAGAAGGACAACAACATCCGACCGCAGTTTGGAACAAAAACCCTAAAAAAGAAAGAAAAAGTTGGTGAATGCAGTCAAACAAAGTTAGAACTAGCAAGTTTCCTCATGTCATTTCCGAGTCAACAGCTGCACAAGGTTTCCACTAAAGTGAACGCTATGTCGTAATGATAACTCTTACTAATATTTTAGAAAATTTTACGGAACTAAAATGCATCTTCAGATATTGTATAGACATAGTTTTATTGTTGTAGACAGCATGCATATTGACCTCCAGATGTCCTATGGCTATTTCGTGGTCGCATTGCTGTCGTAATGTTGACAATTAGATAAAAGGTCAATCAGAAAACATAGCCTGCTTTCTTAAAAAAAAATCCATCTTGAAATCAAATGCTAAAAAAATATTAAATAGTTTAAATCTTTGAGATATAATACATAATAATTTTGGAAAAGATTCCAATTTCTTTTAGAAATTGATATTATGTATTTATTAAACAGCATTTAAAAAACAAACCATGCATATGATTAACGCGAAAATATTACACGTGAGGGTTCCCAAATCGCACCTATTTGGACATTATGTTTTCATTTTCGTTTATTTCAAAAACAGACAAAAGTTTCCTTTCTGTGTTTTTTGTGTGTAGATGCATCCTTATTTACTATATAATTCCACAAACTTAATTCTAAGTCCATACTGAATCACAGAAAAACAATTTGAACCGACTGCCAAACGATCCAAGATTCTGTTATGAGGAGTTATGTGTACGTAAATTAAATACATGCTTAACTATTTCTCCCTTTTTTTTTTTTATAGTTTGCGATGGTTCAAGCTTATTTCATTTTGTGAGAAGTTAATGTCAGTGACATATTTTAATTGCTCATTTTTAAAGTCGACTTTAAAAATGCATGGAGGTCGCATGCGACGTTTCCATAAATTTTACTTTTTTTTCACTGAAGACTTCATCTGTAGATAAAAAAAAGTTAACTATGTTAGAATTGAAAATGGAAACGGGGAATGAGTCAATGAGACAACAAACCGACCAAAGAGCAAAAAACAGCCCAAAGTCCCCAATGTGTCCAACGCAGCGAGAAAATCCAGCACCCGTAGGCGTGCTTCAGCAGGGCCCTAAACTATAATGTATATTAGTTCAGCGAAATGGACGCCACACTAAACTCCGAAACATATAAATGAACCAAAATTAAAAAAATACACAAGACTAACAAAGGCTAGAGATTCCTAACTTGCGACAGGCGCATAAATGGTTAACATGCATAATGACAAATGATAAAAATACGGATTGCTGAGTCTCTGAGAAAACTACGAAAAAACGGTAGGGACGTAGGGACATACTATTTATGAAATTTTTCATTTCATTTTGTGATCTCTTACTTTCATCTTGACATTTCTCACTTTCAACTTGAAATTTCTCACTTTCATTGACAAACATTTTAGATCTGCAAATTTACGTTAGCAAATTTTTGTCTTCCCTCAGCAGGATTTAAACCCATGCTTGCTTCTATGACATTGTAGCCTACAATGTGTCCAGAGCTCTAGACCACTCGGGCAACTAGGCTTTATAAAAGTTGAGATTTCGGTAATCGTCGGATTCCTTTAGGGAGGTAACGCAGTATACGATGTATTGTTGAAAGCAGATCCATTTTTAGAAATCAGCTATTTTATCTGTCGTAAGGGCTGATAATATTTACCATACATTCAATCAATAACTTTTTATTATATAAGCCTACATATGTGACATCTTTACGACAGTAGTTTTCTTTAGTACAATGGGGTACTGGGGTCTCGTCGAGGCAAACTTACGATATAAACTATATAACTTACTTTCGCTTATTTTCCTGATCTCAGCAGCTATTCCGGAATGAAATGGAGAGCTTGACACCAGGACAATCAATGTCATTGCTGTCACAAAGAGTAATATACTATAAGCCTTCATTACTGGAAGAGACATAAAATACATATTAGTAAACAAATCGAATATATGTTCGTATAGTTATCATAGAATATAGAACAGAAATCATATTGTGTTGATTTAAACATAACTGGGTTTATACATCAATGACCTAAATTATTCTTGCAGTTGATTGTCTCCTCATCTTTTTCCTTCTGGTTCTTTGGTTTATGATTATTTATAGTCCCCTTGGTAGTTTCTTCTTTGTTTTATCATTTCTTATTTGGAAACGGCTGTCAACAAAATCAAAGGCTAAAAGTTCTGTTTCTTTAATTGTTGAATCGTTGTTTAATTCCTTGTAGTTGTGAGTTTTTGTTTAATGTTCATCAACCCATGTCCATTTCCTCCCCAAATATTTGTATTTTATCATTCAGAATTTTACAACAAATGTATTTTTGATGGTATATATTGATGTGGTGGCTATGGGGTGGAAAGCGTAATAATAAAAATCTGTTAATTAAAAAATTCCAAATTATTATCAGGTACGTGTAAATGTGCAATACTAAATAGACAATTAAAAATGATTCTTCGTTGCAGGAAAGTAATTTGTCTCGATAAGGCAATGTGATAAATAGGGGCATTCTATCATTGTTATTTTTTTATTGATAGGATATTGTCTATTGTATCCCTCATTATTTTGCATGGTATATTTTGTTACCCTTATTTTTGGACAAAAATATTATGTTTTAGGATACAATGATGTTAAGGAAAGTTAAAAGAGTTGAGTAATGTTTATGAAACCAGGCTGGTAAGATAAAAATGACTTCACCCGAACGATGCAAAAGCCAAAACAATATAAACAACTTTTTTTTAATATTTACATTCCACTCCACTAGAATTGAACCATGCTATGTAGTGTCTGAATATTTTCTAGAATTCATAGAATTCATACATCTTGGTTATTATATTTGAACATTATTTATTTAGTATTTTATACAACCTAAAATGCCATTTGGCCAATGTATGCCTAGATGTCCCACTTTCAGTAAACCAGATTTATGAAACAAATCTAAGGTATTAACGTTTCGAAATTTGGTTCGTGTTGCTTAGTCTTTAGTTTTCTATGTTGTGTCATCTGTACTATTATTTGTCTATTTGTCTTTTTATTTTTGGCCATGGCGTTGTCAGTTTGTTTTCGATCTACGAGTTTGACTGTCCCTCTGGTATCTTTCGTCCCTCTTTTTCAGCTTGAATCAAACAAAACTATGTTTCATGTTTTGTAGCTAACTAATTATTATCATGCATCAAGTGTCACTCATTTTTGCGCAATATTTATTTTCATATGGATATCTTCACTCTGACTTCTTACTCATCCATTTTACTAACGTGTTTATAGATACTTCCTAGATATACAATATCATTCTCACGACTAGTGTTGCTTGCATAGCTGGTTTCTTTTATAACAAGGAATACATGAATATGCATTCTGATAAAGTCCTTGAAGATCATTGGCATTAACATGTATTTAACGTGTTGGTTTATAAGTATATAAATTCAAATGATAACTCAGAAACTTGTTCATATTTGCCCCTTCTAGTATTTATCAATGTGAATTTGACTCGACATTATTCAAGGAAGCTAAACCAGTAAAGGCACAATTATTCATTGATTGGGTATCGGATCGGATCTTGAATGCCCATATTGTAATTTTGTCCGTATTTAATATATTCTCCTGTCTGGGATATGTTCCCAATTTTATATCTCATTCTTACCAATATAATTTTTCCCATATCATAAAGTAACCAATGAGAACCGAAATTTGTTACGTCATTATTTCAAGCTTGCGTGAATATCGTATGAACCTAATATCTTCGCACCGTGATATGAAGCAATGATGCGAAGCAAAAAATGGATATCATATTTTATGGATACATTACTTATAACCCTAACAACGTATTATTCTATCTAATAAACGTCTATAAGGTTTTCGATAGTTCAATCTTTGCCAAATTTATAGATAAACACAGCTATTGTCCTATTGTTGAACTATTGTCCTACATCCCTCCTATACCTATATTTAGTAGTACATACAGTATACAGTATATACTTTCTTGATAAAGTACAAATTAAGAAACATCTAAATACAAGGGTACACAAAATGAAAACAACACTGTAAAAACCTCTGACTGACTTCGGATTTTAAACTGACTTCAATTCTTTTAAAGTCCCTTTAAGTCATTAATCTTTTCAAGTACTTATACATAATGGACTTCAAATTTTGATTTTGAGCCTTTCTGATGAATATAAATCAAGAAGAGTGCTTCGGATGCACGAAATTAAGTTTTTTTTTAACATATATATTTTGGTTATTGTTAATACACTGATATTAGTACCTTTTGTTTTCTTTTTATTACAATAGAAAGGTTCAAATACAGGTTATTTATCTGAATATATCCCGGCTGCTGAAAATTTAAAAAGTCGAAATAACATGTCAATTTTGATATGCTTGTTTCTAAAAAATATAAGCATGTGAATCCATATAAAAATAAGGAGATGTGGTATGATTGCCAATGAGACAACTATCTACCAAATTCAAATAAATTGGATGCAATTATAGGCAACCGTACGGCCTTCAACAACGAGAAAAACCCATACGGTATAGTCGACTAAAAAGGTTCGTATGATAAATATGAAACAATTCAATTGAGAAAACTAACGGCCTAATTTATAATAAAACAATTTACGAAAAACAAATATGACAGACGTGAACCAACGACAACCACTGAACTACAGGCTCCTGACTTGGGACAGGCACATAAAGAATGTCGCGGGGTAAAACATGTCTGCGAGCGCTTAACCCTCCCCTAATCTGGGACAGTGATGTAACAGCACAACATAAGAACAAACTATAAAAATCAGTCGAAAAAAGGCTTAATATTAGGTTGCCTATAATTGCTGAAATCCACTTCATTTGAACTTTGCTGGATAGTTGTCTCAATAGCAATCATACCACATCTCCATTTTTTATATTAACTCATCAGATCGATACAAAGAAAAACATCAAACAAAAACACAGACAGGACGTGGCAGGGTATATATTAATACCTCATCCCTAACAACAAAAAAGACACTACGTACATATCTGAGAGAGCTCGATGTTACTGACAACTAGTTCAAAGCCAATAAGAACTAATAAAACAAAATCATGTATTTAAGACTAAAATATTAATCAGTACACATCCAACATCCAACGGATTTAGTGTAAAGACGTCATTAGAAGTCAGAGAAGAAGAAACTTGTGCAATGTTAAAATATAGGTATCGACAGATTGTAGTACTGTGAAGGTACATATGTGTACTGTAAAGGTACGTATGGGTAATATTTAGTATAGTTTTAATTACTTATAACAAAATCAATATTTATACCAATAAAAACAATATTCAAAGATTTAGTTACAGTGTTGAATAGGTAACCATTTAGAATAAGTTTATTTAAAGGATTGATAAGTATACCCGGATCGTTTTTTGTTTTGTCATTATTTAACATATTAAAACATTCAGCCAAATGTTATCTTGAATATCAGCAGCTAGTATCCTTATAAGATATTTCCGAACATACCATGTATGCAACCCTGTTGGCTCTTACAGAAGCCAGAAGGCGAATGGTATTTACTTCATGAATTAAGTATTATAAACAAATAAATAAATAAAGTGGTAGAATTTCTATTGAAAATTAATCTCATCTGACTGGAAAATACAATGAATCAATAAACAAATAATAGACAGTATATTTAAATAAGTCAGTAGCGAAACCCATATAAAACAGTTAATAGATATAAGAAGATGTGGTATGAGTGCCAATGAGACAACCCTCGATCCAAGTCACAATTTGTAGAGTAAACCATTATAGGTCAAAGTACGGCCTTCAACACGGAGCCTTGGCTCACACCGACCAGCAAGCTATAAAGGGCCCCAAAAATGACTAGTGTTAAACCATTCAAACAGGAAAACCAACGGTCTAATCTATATAAAAAACGAGATACGAGAAACACTTATGAACCACATCAACAAATGACAACCACTGAACATCAGGTTCCTGACTTAGGACAGGTGCAAACAAATGCAGCGGGTTTAAACGTTTTAATAGGCGCCAACCTTCAACCTTCCTGAAACAATAGTGTAACATCACAACATAGAAAGACACACCATAAAGTATCAATTGAAATGGCTTAACTAAATCAAAAGACATATTAACAAAAATAAGTGAACATACACTGAACAAATAAATGTGATCTATGACACAATGTAAATACAAAATAAACAAAGGGGTTAGGTATAAAACAATTTCAGAAAGACAACCATAACCTCGGACAAAATGCTGCCAAATAAAATAAAGTACACAGTTAAATAAAAATAATTTTGTAGTAAGGTATACATGGAGTACGGAAATAATTTTTACAAAGTAAATAATTTTGTTGTTCCTAGTACGAGAACAAAAGTGAAAATTTATCGTCATACTAAACACTTATCCAAGGTGGTATATATTAAAAATAGTGAGACTAGATATAACACCGAATAAGTTAACATTAAATAACAAAAATGCATTACAAACTGTATCAACAGGTCAAATGAACACGAAAGTACGATTTGAAAGTACTCGCAGTTACTGAAAGCTAGATGAAATTCAAACAATTAATAATAAAAAATCAAGCATCAGAGACTAAAATCAACTAAAACATCCCAGGATTTAGTGTTTTAACGTCATGGACAGTCAAAGAAGACATGACTTGTGCAATGCCAAAATAAAAGCATTGACAGGCAGTAGGATAGTGAGGAGTTAACCTGTTAATAAATATGTATAATGTAATATATAGATAGAGTAATCTTTATATAGAAAATGAACGTTGATGTGTATTTATACATCCCAAAAAAAAAACGTTTGAAAAGAAATCAAATTTAGTTATGTTTTAATTTTCTGATCACAAAATCGATATTTGTGCCAATGTAAACTATATTCAAAGATCTAATTACAAGACTGGTAAGATAACTTTTACTTATAAGTTTGTTTAAAGGTTCGATGAGTAAAACCTACATAAAACCTATGATTCTAGACTTTTTGGTAGAGATCATGTTAGCAATATGAATAATCTGTAGAGAATGTTTGTAAACGATGCCGGCATGATCCATGATCAATGTATGACTACATGCAGCGTACCCTGGTCTTGATGCTCATCTTGCAAATTACGAACGTGAAAAGATGTGTGATGACCCTTGGGAGCCACTAGTCTCTGGTTATTTTTATTATCTTTGGAAAAAAAGGAAAGGCAACTCGAACTCATTACAGCTCATTCACAGAAAGTGACTCCTTGAATATTTTCCACATTTAATTTGAGCTTTGCCTCCACTTCAGTAATGAAAATTTCAATTGATTTACCTTACTGGTCTTTTCCAAAATATGACATATCGTATAAACTTCAAAGCATATCTATATTTTATTTAAACAGATCAACACAGCACTGATTTTAACGAGAAATAGACCCAAGTTGCTTTTTTTTATTTACACAAATTCTATGTTTCATCTGTTCTTAAAAGAAAAACATCTAATTAATCCATAATTATCTTTGAGACATATGTTACCGGCGCGGTACTTTTGCGCTTTTTGAAAGGACATTTGCGCTTTTTTAAATGGACAATTACACTTTTTTAATTGACATTTGCGCTTTTTAAAAAATGATATTTGCGCTTTTTTACAGGACATTTGAGCTTTATAAACCTAACATTTTAGTCATCATGGTTAAAAGTTTAAAAATCACTTAATATCCCAAACAAACAGCACATTCATTTATTTATATACAATTCAAAGTTGTAGGGTTACTTTTCTTCCGACCAATTCCCCCAAAGGATTCCTCATATTTTGGAGGAAAATTAATTTCAATAAGTCCATGAGAATTTTGAAAACTACATATTAATCAGTAAGTGAAAAGAAAAAAAGTAATATCTTTTATTTGAAAAAAATCCAGTTACTGGACAACAGCTGTAAACAAGCTGTTCATTTGAATGTTATAATTTAATTACGCTGCATATATATTTGAAGTCCTTATTCCTGATATAAAATGCATTTAACATGTGATGTAAATTCGTGAGTACTTTGCAATTTACTAAATAACTACATACCTTTTGAAAACAAATACTAAATGATGCATCTATATTTTCCTTTAATAATTAATTGCCGTATATGAGACCTTAACTCGGAAATAACCCTTGGTATACCAAATCACCGAAATAAAAAATGTAGATTATATTGACCTCCTTTTTGTGGTTATTAACAATTTTGTGTAGTCAGTCTATTGATATCATTCTATTTCTCCTGATTTTTAAACTTGATATTTTTTATTTAGTTAAAAGCTGTTGGTATGTGCTCCAATAATCTTCAGAAATAAATATAATTCTGGTATTACAACCACCATAAACATACCATACCACACATGACTGTAATTAAAATTGTACAGAATAAATGAATATTGCATAGCAAGTCTACATAATTTCGTTAAATTTTATTGAAAAATTTTATTGAAAAATTTAAGTACGGGTCACTGTCTATATTTTTATTTTCAATATAAAAAACGGAAATATGGTATGATTGCCAACTATCCACCAAAGTTCAAATAAAGTGGATGTTCAGTTTTCTTACCAATGGCTATTGTCTTAAATTTGTCAGGGTTTGGCATTTATAGTATTTAAACTAAACCAAATAATAAACTTTAAGCCAAGGCTCCGTGTTGAAGGCCGTACTTTGACCTATAATGGTTTACTTTTACAAGTTGTAACTTAGATGGAGAGGTGTCTCATTGGCTCTCATACCAAATCTTCTTATATCTATCTAAGCATTCTTTTTTTAGAGTATTTACAACACTGTCTATATAAGAATGTGAATATGACAAAGAATTATCATCTGCATAATTAAATAGTGAGCTACTTGACACAAAAGGAAAACCATTATTTTAAAACATCATTAAAACTACAGGTACAAATAAAGAGCCTTGCTGCGCCCCTTTATATATATTTATCAAGGTACTTATATCGATATCAATTTTTATACATTGTTTTCTTTTACTTAAATAGGTATCTACACAAGCTTATAGTCGATTCGTCTTGTCTGCAAGCCTTCAGTTTCAAAATCAATACAGTAAGACTAAGTCAGTCGAAGGTTTTCACCACAGCAGTAATATATTGATCGTTTTTAAAATCCTTTTTCCAATTATCATTAATTTTAAGGAGTTCTGTCTGGCAGCGGTATTCTGCCCTAAAGGCGGATAAATTTGGATGAAATAAACTATGAAGAAAACTTTATTGAAAAAACGTCGACACAACAGGTTAAATACTGATTGGTCTATAGGTACCAGCTTCAAGTTGACTATTTTCCTTGTGAAGTGGCACCACTTAGCCTACTTTAGTTGTCGGGATATATCGAGTGCTCAACCGATTTGTTTTACTAAATTTTGTTATTGGTGTCACAACTGCTGGTTTTTCCAATTTTAGTATTTTTCCGGATAACCCATCTTTACCTGTTGTTTTATTTACATCAATTGTGTTTATTTGTTTCTCTGCAACAGTTTCTTCTACACATTTGAAAATTAAATAACTTCGTTTCTACAATTGCTGTTAATAGACTTAACACTTTGGTGGTTTTGATCTACAGGACAGTCTGATCCAATATCTATTATTATATTTTCAAAAATCATAAAACGTATTATCAAACTTTGACTGAACATTTATAATGTTATCGTTGTTTCATAAATAAAGGTATTACTAAAATGACTACCTTTGTTTGCTAAAAAAAGTCTAATGGTGGCCAAAAGTCTTTGCTTTTTGGTCCACCTAAAAACAGCTCTATAAAATAATTTCTAATTAATTGACGCTAGATTTTGTTAAAAAAACATCTGGACCCTATATTTCCCCCCAGTTTTTCTTTTATTTCATCTTATATCTATTGTACAACATCTTTTTATTAAATATAGCTCATCTAAGTTCATTATTCGATTCATGAACGGACCAGGATTCTAAACATTTATTTCAATTTTTAAAGGTATGTGTTTATTTACAGTATTTTAAAAATCAGGTTCAAACTCTTCATGTGCTATATTGACATCATTGTTCTCATCTATTTTCTTATTGAATGTATTGCATTTAAATAAAGGCAACAGTAGTATACCGCTATTCGAAATTCATAAATTGATTGAGAAAAAAAAAACAAATCCGGGTTAAAAACTAAAACTGAGGGAAACACATCAAATACATGAGGAGAACAACGACATAACAGAAACACAACACTAAAATGCAACACACACAGAAACGAACTGTAATATAACAATGGCCATTTTCCTGACTTGGTACAGGACATTTTAAGAAAAAAATTCGTAAGGGTTCCGCGGAACCCAGTGTCTCGCCTACTTTTGCTGTTAGTCGCAGGCTAAAAAAAAATGGGGAAAAAATTATTAAAAATTTTCCTCTAGATACTATCTTTTGATTGTAAGAAGTTCTGTTCAAGTTTGGTAAAAATCCAAGAAGGTTTATGAATCTAATAAATGTTTTAAAAACTTTAACTGCAGATTGTACGTAATATTAATTCGTATAAAACTAAGTCCATTTATAAGTAATATACGGAAAAACAGGAAATAAATATTAACGAAATGTCCTTCTAGATACTAGCTATTGATCATAAACAATCTTCTGTCCAAGTGTGGTACAAATCCGGGATAATTTAAGAAAGTTATTAAAATTTTAAAAGCTTTAACCACGGAGTGAATGTAATGTTAACTGGCAGAAAAACTAAGTGCATTTATAAGTAAAATAAGTAAAAGATAGGATTTTGTTTTTTACAAAATTTTCTTCTGGATACTATCTTATGATTATAAACAATCTTCTATCCAAGTTTGGTACAAATCTAGGATAGTTTAAGAAAGTTATTAAAATTTGAAAAACTTTAACCACAGAGTGAATGTAATGTTAACTGACAGAAAAACTAAGCCCATTTATGAGTAAAATACGGAAAAACAGGAATTGTTTTACTTCTGGATACTATCTTATGATCATAAACAAGCTTCTGTCCAAGTTTGGTTGAAATGCAGGATAGTTTAAGAAAGTTATTAAAATTTCAAAAACTTTAACCAGAGTGAATATTTGTGGACGCCAAAGACGACGCCGACGGAATGTAGGATCGCTTTTATGGCAATGTTAAATATCTCTAAAAAACCAATGGGGCCTCGGTGGCCGAGTGGTTTAAGTAGTTACTACTGTAATCACTAGCCAGTGAACACTGAGGTTGTGAGTTCGAACCCCGCTCGTGCGGGTGCACTCGACTCCAATCTTAATTGACTAGGATTGTCAGTTTTCCTATCGAAGGTCGGTGGTTTTCTCCGGGCACTCCGGCTTCCTCCACCAATAAAAACTGGCCGCCACGAAATAGCCCAAATGCGGTGCTTAAAAGTGGCGTTAAAACACCAAAAATCAAAATCAAACTAAAAAACTAAATAAGTTTTGGTTGTGTGTCAAAAGTAGATTTTATATCAAAATTAGTAAATCCTGTGACAGTAGCTAAGGATAAAGATAAGTTGAGAATAGTTTTATTTGCAAGACATATTAATTTACACTTGCATGAATTTAGATTTAAGTATGACACTTTTGGGTCAGTAAACCAAATTATTACAGTTTCTTGATTGCCTTATATGCATCGGTTTTTGGTATTTCTTAGATACATGTGTTATATAAAGGAATATAGCTGAAAAGGAAATCAGAAAAAAGTACCTGCGTCGTTGGTGTAGGAAGTCGTAAAAATATTTTCAGTAAAATACAAAAATAGACAATTAAAAAAATCTTCATTATAAGAAAGTAATTTATATCGGTAAGGTAATATGCCAGATAGGGGTATTCGATCATCGTTTTTTTTCCCTCACTTTTGATAGCATATCTACTGTGTCCTTTACTTTTGGGCATGGTATATCCTATATTTTTTTAAACATCCCTCTAAAAAAAGTTTGACCTTCAACATATAAAAAGCAAAACTACGTGAAATTGGCAGCATAAGTTCTGTCCAGGTTACTTTTAGTCATTGTGCAATGCCAAAATAAAAGCATTGACAGGCAGTAGGATAGTGAGGAGTTAACCTGTTAATAAATATGTATAATGTAATATATAGATAGAGTAATCTTTATATAGAAAATGAACGTTGATGTGTATTTATACATCCCAAAAAAAACGTTTGAAAAGAATTCAAATTTAGTTATGTTTTAATTTTCTGATCACAAAATCGATATTTGTGCCAATGTAAACTATATTCAAAGATCTAATTACAAGACTGGTAAGATAACTTTTACTTATAAGTTTGTTTAAAGGTTCGATGAGTAAAACCTACATAAAACCTATGATTCTAGACTTTTTGGTAGAGATCATGTTAGCAATATGAATAATCTGTAGAGAATGTTTGTAAACGATGCCGGCATGATCCATGATCAATGTATGACTACATGCAGCGTACCCTGGTCTTGATGCTCATCTTGCAAATTACGAACGTGAAAAGATGTGTGATGACCCTTGGGAGCCACTAGTCTCTGGTTATTTTTATTATCTTTGGAAAAAAAGGAAAGGCAACTCGAACTCATTACAGCTCATTCACAGAAAGTGACTACTTGAATATTTTCCACATTTAATTTGAGCTTTGCCTCCACTTCAGTAATGAAAATTTCAATTGATTTACCTTACTGGTCTTTTCCAAAATATGACATATCGTATAAACTTCACAGCATATCTATACTTTATTTAAACAGATCAACACAGCACTGATTTTAACGAGAAATAGACCCAAGTTGCTTTCTTTTATTTACACAAATTCTATGTTTCATCTGTTCTTAAAAGAAAAACATCTAATTAATCCATAATTATCTTTGAGACATATGTTACCGGCGCGGTACTTTTGCGCTTTTTGAAAGGACATTTGCGCTTTTTTAAATGGACAATTACACTTTTTTAATTGACATTTGCGCTTTTTAAAAAATGATATTTGCGCTTTTTTACAGGACATTTGAGCTTTATAAACCTAACATTTTAGTCATCATGGTTAAAAGTTTAAAAATCACTTAATATCCCAAACAAACAGCACATTCATTTATTTATATACAATTCAAAGTTGTAGGGTTACTTTTCCACCGACCAATTCCCCCAAAGGATTCCTCATATTTTGGAGGAAAATTAATTTCAATAAGTCCATGAGAATTTTGAAAACTACATATTAATCAGTAAGTGAAAAGAAAAAAAGTAATATCTTTTATTTGAAAAAAATCCAGTTACTGGACAACAGCTGTAAACAAGCTGTTCATTTGAATGTTATAATTTAATTACGCTGCTATATTTGAAGTCCTTATTCCTGATATAAAATGCATTTAACATGTGATGTAAATTCGTGAGTACTTTGCAATTTACTAAATAACTACATAC